AGGCAGGGCTCGGGGAGTCCCTCTCCACTGAGGTGCTGAAGCTGAGACATGGCCAGCCAGGGCACCGGGAAGGCACCAACCCGTCCCGCCCAGGCCAGGTGGAGCTCAGAGAGATGCCCCCCGTGCCAGGAGGAGGAACACGCCCAGGCTGGCAGTGCACAGGCTCCAGGATAATAGTCCACCGTGCTTGGGTCAGAAAACCCGCATTCTCCCTGCCACGAACTGTGAGGCAGAATTCACCACCACCCCCCTTGGGACATATAACAAATGTCATTTCAAATCCACATCTTGAAACAAAATACATTTTAAGGGAACAAGAAACACCAACAAAAGGTTTTGTATCAGCATTTGGATGAGGCAGAATTCCCCCCCCCCCCCTTGGGACATATACAAATGTCATTTCAAATCCACATCTTGAAACAAAATACATTTTAAGGGAACAAGAAACACCAACAAAAGGTTTTGTATCAGCATTTGGATGAAGTTGTGATTTTGTTGTTTTTATTTGAATTGGAAGAAAACAAAAGGAAATAACATTTTACTGTCAGAACAAAACCAAACAGGTTTCATGGCATCTAGAACTGTTTATTCAAACGGAAAATGTTTGTTTCACTGTTTCCTGCGGAAAAAACCAAGATCTTTCATCAAAATGAACTTTTTCCTGTGAAAATTTTTCAGTTTTGATGAAACATGGTGTTTATGTGGGGAAAACACTCTGCACAAAACATGTTGACCAGCTTTAATAGTTACCTCCTCCACCCACTTGGCCATTTCAACTAAGATGCTCACCGAGGCAATATTTGCTAGGTAGCTACAACAATAAACTTGCCCGTTTTGGGCTGCACACCTAGTGATAATTAAAACACTGAACCAGTGGGTATCGCAACACAATGTGGTGGATTTTTTCAATAAGTGACCTCTTGCTCTATTTCCTGAGCTAAGTTTTTTCTCCAGGACGCGTCTTGAAATGCAGGGTAGAATTCTATGTACATGATTCTACTAATTCCTGTCCTGCTCAGATTGCTAAATTGGAGAGGAGTCCAGTCCAGATCCTGGCTAAACAGCAGTGTTTTCCGGAGAGAAAGGGATAGCAAGATGGGAAATGTAGAGCACCAGTTTTCTAGATTCTACTCCCCACTTTGATTTATTGCTATGGTTATTTTTAAACAAAACAGCCTCCAGAAGGGGGAAACCTATAAAAAGATCAAATTTATTTATACTTATTAATGAGCTGTTGAAAATACACGAATGTATAAAAGGAGCCAAGAATACATGGAAAGCTACAAACAAAATTACAAAAAGAGGCAGGGTGGATTTATCAACAGGCACACCACATGAAAATATCACACAGAATACCCATGCGTCTAACGGAGCTCAAGCTAGCTTTCCCTTCACCACACTCTGCCTCAAGAAATGGAAAAGCTCCAGATCCTCTTGTGGCATCATTCTAACCCAGAGCCAGATCAGCCAGTGCAAAACACTCTGCTCATTCACTGGAGGAGCCTAGGACTTCACACCCAGGCCAAGCAAAGCCTCCTCCCAAACAGCCTTTTCTTGCAGGCAGATATCCTGCGTGTGTCCTTGGCACCTAATAGGCAGCCAGTCTGATGCTCTTCAGCACATGTGCCTTGTACTTCAGGGTGCTCACCTCAGAGAATATCTGCCCTTGAAGACATCTTATCTGGACAGCTACAGCCATGCAGAGACTGAGCCACGTGTTAAGGAGCATACCCAACGTGGTGAGCATGTCTGTGATATGCGTCTCACAGGCCTGCAGAGGAGAAGGGACAAAGGGGACAGTCCCTGGGGCCCAGTGATTCAAAGGGGCATAGGCCAGCAGAAGTGGCAGCTGGAACCCTGAGTCCTTTCAGTCGCTGCTGGAGCACGACACTGAGTGTTCCGGGCAGCGCTAAGGGCTGGGGGTGCCACACTCTGGGTGGTGCTGAGCGCTGCCTGTGGGCCAGCATGGTGCACTCCGGGCAGTGCTCAGAGCTGGCTGTCTCCAGCCCCACCCCTTCTGCCTTAGGCTCCACCCCATATGACCAAAACTCCAAGAGCACTTAGCCACCCCCCCACACCTTGCCCAAGGGTGTCAGTACCTCTGCAATTCAAGAAATGCACCAAGGTGACAAGTGCACTTCAGGCAATTGCACTGCACTAACTTGAGGGAGCGGCTGTTCCTTACCATCCACTTGTACAATGTCAGAACAACCGGTCCTCAGCCTGACTGCATGCTCCTGTAATTTGTACCAATGTTAACAATTAGCGATAGTGCCTGTCCTTCCCCTTCACAGGCACAATCATGTTCTCTGCTGCCAGTCCCCAGGGAATGTGCAATATTAGGGGCATGCAATGTAAATCTAGGACTGTCAGAATCCCCTTTTACCGGTCTGCCCACAAAGGACAGGAAGCCAAGGAAATTCCCAATCACTTCCGAGTCAGGGGATCTATTTTTGTGCTTTGCATTTCTGGTTCTAACTGTGTCATGTTACACTCGAGGGCTCTGCCTCGTTTTTGCAGATACAGACTCACATGGCCACCCCTGTGAGACGTATTTAGGTGCAGCACATGAAGATTGTGTGTGATTTATCTCTTCCCCCCTGCTGGAAATGTGGCCAATAAATCAGTGTTGTCTGGCCTCTAGGACACAAAGAAAAATGTGGTAGCCCATGCACAGCTTTGACGGATGAGGAAAGGCTCAAGAGGAGAAGGCAAAACTTATATAAATGCATAAAGTCCACAGACCTCTGTTGTCAGTAGGTGGGATTGAACAGGGAACCTTAGGCCCTGCACCGCTACCCCATGAGCTGAATGCCAGCTGACTTTGTACACCTTCTCTATGGTCTCAGAGCCTCTGGGTTACAAAGGCAATTATTTGCTATGGAATTTTTCAGTCGGGAGAATAATGCACCTCCAGGGGAAACTCATGCAACTACTTTGTATAGAGAACTCCAGCTGTAGCTGAAGAAAAGTGCATTATTTTAGGGGTGTGAAGTTGATTCTCCAGTTGATAGAGGGGTATTATAAGTAGCATGAGGGGGGTTACCCGTATCTGTCAAGGAAAACATATAAATGTGTTAAAATTACAGGGGGAAAGAAATATTGCAAAATGTGAGGTATTTATGGGGATGTTTGCCTGCCACCCTGGACTGCTCTCAGCTGGTGTGAATCAGGATGAGGTCATCAAACATTAGTTGAGCTACAGTGACTTACTCCAAGCCTCCTCTCAGCAAGGCAAACAGAAATGTACAATGGGACCTTTTCCTCAAATAGGAACTTCATGCTAAGCAGAATTTCTGTCCCTGGAGCGGGACAGCCTTAATTTTGCTCTGTGAGTGAGGCAAGAACTTTACTGACCCACCCTCTGCGGGTGGCCTTCAGTGCGACCTTGTACAAGAAAAGAAAGCTTGTGATACAATGTAAGGGTACGTCTACACTACAGCGCTAGTTCGAACTAACTTAGTTCGAATTAGTTAATTTGAACTAAGCTAGTTCGAACTAACGCATCTAGAACTAAAAACTAGTTCGAACTAGCGTTTTGCTAGTTCGAACTAGCAAGTCCATATTGAGTGGACTCTGAACAGGGCTTAAGGATGGCTGGAAGCAGTGCCGGCAGGGCATAAAAGGAGGACTTAGAGCATGGAGATGCTGTCTCAGGCTAGCCGAGGGCTGCGCTTAAAGGGTCCCGACCCCCACCCCGGACACACAGTTCTAAGGGGTGCCCCGCTTGCAAAGAAGTTCTGGCTTGGAGTGCCCGGAGTGCCCACACTGGGCACATCACAGCACTCGGCCATCAGCCCAGCTGCACTTGCCGCAGGCTGCCATCTGGGGAGAGGGAGTAATTGGGGGGCTGCAGGAGAGCTTCCACCCCCAGAAGCCCGCAGAGCCAGCCCAGTCCTCCCCATCGGGGGCTCGTACCCCATTCCTCCCTCACCTCCTTCCACTTACCCTTCCCTAGCCCCCCTTCTTATTGATGTACAAAATAAAGATAACGTTTCTTCCAACATTGACTCTGTCTTTATTGAAAAAAACTGGGGGAGACTGGGAAAAGGAGGTGGGAGAGGGGAAGAGAAAGGCTGGGAGAGGGGAGGGCAACTAACATGATCAGGGGTTGGGAACAGGTCCCAGATGAAGAAAGGCTACAGAGACTGGGACTGTTCAGCTTAGAAAAGAGGAGACGGAGGGGGGACAGGATAGAGGTCTCTAAAAGCAGGGGTTGGGTGGAGAGGGTGCATTCAGAAAAGTTCTTCCTGAGTTCCCATAAAGAAGGACTAGAGGACACCAAAGGAAAGGAATGGGTAGCAGGCTTGAAACTAGTAAGAGAAAGTTGTTCTTCTTGACAAAGCAAATAGTTAACCTGTGGAACTCCTTGCTGCAGGAGGCTGTGAAGGCTACAACTAGAACAGAGTTTAAAGGGAAGTGAGATAAAGTGATGGAGGTTGGGTC